TATATATATATACAGGCTTATTATAAAAAGATACAGACATTTTATGCACGATGGTCTATGATTTTACTAATATATGCGTGCATGCTACAAGTTGATATCAGATCAAGTTTCATACCTGCTCCAGAAAGGGTGCCAATGTTGGTTCTATGAAGCCAATTGAAATAGCACCAGCCATGAATGTCACCATGGTGATAAGAATGGCAGGAATTCGCAATATCTTGTTGAACTCGGCCAATTTATTGTCGCCGACGTGTTCTAAATTACACAACGAAAAAAGACGAATATTGTAGCAGCTTGGGGAGAACTGTGGGTGGGTGGGGGTGGGTGGGGGTGGGGGTGGGGAGGTGTTGAGTGGGAGTGATGCGTTCGGGAGTTGCCGGAATGGTCGCATTTGCAGAACGCGTGAGTAAGGATGCTTCCGTTTGCTGAATTTCGTATAGACGCAGCATGGAAGAGAGAGAATCGAGTAAAGCTAGGTAAACTTCGATTTCCGTGTTTATCTGGATCAACATGGAAATGATTGAACTACATGGTTATGCGTGGATAAAGAGCTATGTTAAAGCACACTGGAAATGTCGTGGATTGGTTGAACTTCAGAATCAAGTATGCATAAGGATAGGTACAGACATACTTGATAACAACTCACCTTTCTGTGGTGGAAGTACATACCACAACACAAGCCCAGTCACAATTAGGCAGAAACCTATCACCAGGAACGGGAGTAGATATCCACCTACCTAACATAATAAATATCCCGTAGTAAGAATTTTCGTCAAGTGTAATATTTAGTTTTTGTAATTTTTATTACTTTTGATTTTTACATGTTTAGTTCGTTTTTAGAATATATTAGCATAGATTAAGGGTTTCTCACGCCATAAGATCGATACATTGAACAGTCTATATTTACCTCATACAAAGCGCCCCCTATTGGCGGACCAGTCATCATACCGAGTCCGAAAAATGTTTCCAGAATACCCTGAATGAACAGAACCATGACGATTAAAAGCGTACATAAACTAGCGAAAAGAGCATCACGGAATGAGTAATAAATGCACGATTTTTATTTTATACGTAAACAAATATGAGGCGAGGAAATTTGTGTGTACATCTGGCTCGTGCAATTCCAAACGCCCCAATAACTACGGCCCTCCTAGAGCAGGCTGATCAGCTAGACTTGTCGCTCGTATATGTTTCGAACTTACACGAAGACGCCAGGATCCTATTTTGCCAGTAGGTGGCGCAAAATAACAGACTATCATTGCCACCAGGCTTTCCTCGCCTTTATCTACATGGAGTGAACCGAGCGTAGTAATCGTTTAGCTCTACACGTGGCCCTTCGCTCCAGAAACAGGGTTGTGGGAACAACATAGTCACGTCACTAACTTTAGTTTGCCGCTCTAAAATCAAGCTCGACTGACAGTAACTTGTTCGGAAGAACTGTGGCACCTAGGGTAATAGTTCTGGTGCTAGGAATTTTTATACTCCCAAAGATATATATA